CAGACTTCGGCCTAAACAGAAATAATTTAATTTCACAATATAAATTTAATAAATAAATATATTTATAATAATAATTTCGAGATTTAGAACGATATAGAATCGAAATATGAGACCTGTCGAGAAGATTTAGTATTAACACATCATCTTCATATTTTTAAATTAATTGTTTTTTAATAATATATACTAGAAAATAAATATTATTATATATCATTTAAATTTCACATTAAATTTTATTGACTAGGATACGTACGCTTGTCTGTTCACTTTTTATCACATAAACAGAAGACAACGAGAAATAAAAAATAAAAAATAAAATGAATACAAAATAACATGAACTCTTTTAGAATAACCACGAAGACAGACAACCAGACAGTCATACTCTATTATTTTTAAATCGCAGATTTTTTTAAATGTTATTTGCTCTAAATGGGTGCAATTACTTTCATTAAGATCAATAGAAAAGAGTAAAAACGTTTTTCTCCAAAAAATACTATTTTAAGTCTTTTTAATCATGTTAATAGACTAAATCCAAACAGCTTTTTACATTTAGATTTACTCTAATAATACAAATAAACGTTGGCCTATTGGAAATGATTATTTAAATGTTGAATATTTATTACATTTTAATCAATTATTACAAATTTAACAAAAGTTTATTATAAATAATCACAATAAACAATAGAACTATTACAGTATATCTTATTTCAGATTTATACACATATTTATTGTTTATTATTGTTATTATTATTATGTTGTTGTTGTATTGTTTAAATGTTACATAATCAAACATTTATTTGTTACGTATTTACAACGCTTTTTTTTATTTATATTTTGTTTATCTTATTCCAAGTTTACGGACGACCCGACCCTGGCTTTATGTAGTGATAGCGGCGGTTCAGTTTTCGAATTGAATTTCAAGTAAGAATGGTTTTTTTAATTTATGTGATAAAATACTGGAAATAGATAAATTGATAAATTAAAGGTTTTATCTTTGAATATTATTTGCAGTTTCTAATTAGAACTTTTTTACAATGAAATAAANTCTGCTTTATTGAAGTTTATAATAAATAAATATAAACATGCAAACGCAATTAAATTTTATTATAAATAACCATTAATTACTTTCGATGAAGGCTGAAGGCGAGGCAGCTAAGGAGTCAGCTTATCGCTCTAGATGATCCGGAAACGAATCCTGGCTAAGGACACCTCAGGAATTTTTTATGGGCCTAACTATATAGTATTTAAGATTGATTGAAAAACTTGTGTAAACATTAATAAACGCGTTATCGCCTTGAGTCTTTAGCTTCACATGTTCGGAGAATACCAAATCCGCATTCGGAGAAAAGCGTGCCGGATTATCGGACGTTCCGAAATCTGGTACCGGATTAACAAACCTCTATTCAATGATAATTTATAAATTAATATGACTTTTTAAGTAACACAATGAGTCAACGTAATTAAGTTCTTAATCATATTTTTAAGCATTTAAAACTATTTTTATTGAAAATTTAACTATTTAAATTTAAAAAATTTTTTTTAAGAATTTTTCAGAAAAAAAATCATGTTATATTTGAAAATATAAAATTTATTCGATTTTTTTTCTAAATTTTATAATGTCATTAAATTTGTTTTCTAGAATCACATTCTTAAAATTCCATCTCAATTTATTTGTACAGTACATTCAGACAAACGAACGTATTAAAAGATATTTTCTTTCAAAAATATCATCTTATAAAGTGAATGTCTAGAGTTAAATATTTATAAATATATTATAAATTTAGTGAAGAAAATACATTTTAAAGTGACATTTTATTACTTTTCCAAAAATTTCACGGAACTGTTCACTTGAAAGTAGATAATTCTCAGAAAAAAATAATAAAAATCAAAGTTTTAAGGAAACAATTGTTGTAAACGTGACAAATACAATAAATTTGGTTCAATGACTAGGAACATTAGCCTTAAATGCCCATTAATCAAGTGATGAATCATTTAGTGATGCTGTTTTCCTCATAATCTCATAACACGAACAACTAAATCCACTAAAAGCGCCCTTAATTACTACTAAAAAGATCAATACACCAAGAAAAGTAATTAACCTGAAAGCATCCTCTGACAATATTTAAACTTAAAATTATCTTTAAATTATTTTTTTTATAATTAAATTCACTAAATAACAAGCATAACAAAAGCAATATCATAATCCTTTCATTATATGGACTTTAAAAGTAAGCTCATATAATTAAAATTGTTGGAAAAATATTGTGAAATTAATCACAATATATATAATTAATAAATTAAAGTTTATTTTTATTAAATTTTGAATTGATTTTAAAATAATTAACAATTTTAAAAAAAATTGTGCTTAATTTAAAATGAAAATAAAATATTAACTAAATAAAAAAATTATTTAAATAAAAAGTAATTAAATTAATTATTTAAAT